CTAAAACTTGAAGTTGGATTAAATTAGTATGATAGTGAAGTATAGTACAACAAATAAATCAAGCCATGTTGTAGGATTTGTATATTACTAAAACTCATTAACATAGGACCCAATCTGTACATAATAAACAATAATTCCTAGGTCCATATGAGGAAATTTTTAATGAAAAAAAACATAGTGACCCTTGACTTTCTTCAAGTTGAGGAAATAGTGCAAGCTATAAAAAAAGACAACCATGGGAGAGTTCGAGTCTGCAGTGAAATGGAGGAAGGAAGCAAAGATTGAGGCCAAAATCTTTTTGCTCAAGGAAAACCGGCCAGTAGTAGAGGAAAAGATTCTTTGCTCAAGAAAATCTTTTTCCCAATATACTTTTTGTTTAAATTCAAAATGCCAAGGTGATCTCTTTTTTATTTAATGGGTGGAATTCGTGTTTTCATTGGGGGTTGGAAGATAATGATGTTACCGATTGCAACAAAAGACATGATTTTTCTAATTTGTGGCCTTTGTGCCAACTGATTCTATGACAATTTGAAGTTGTTGATAGAATAATTTAGGTGTCGAAGTTTCTTATCAGATTAGTCAGATTTTCCACTTTGGTGATCAATACCATTCACAACACAAATATTCTCTTACAGCAAGAAATGAAGAACAATCAACATGGGGCTTAAGTATTTGACAATTTTGGTACCAGATTTGGACTCAGCCCTGAATTTGTATCACTTTATTTTGAAGGGTACACGGCCTTATGGCTCAATGAATGCACATGGTGTCTTTGAATTCTCTATATTATCCTTTTTTGTCTAATATCACCTGCTGGAGATCCAACAGTAGTTGAAAATTTTATTTATAACTGGGTCATTGACTCATTGTTCATTCATTCATTCATTCAGTTGATCTTATGCTTGCACTCTACTATTGTCTAATGTTTGCTCTCTGTTGTTTAGATCAATCTTCATTTGCAACAAAGGCCAAGGGGTTTGTCTGATACTTCAATAAGTCGTTCAGTTCAGCCAGTTCAGCTTTTCCCATCTAATTCAGCTTTACTAGCAGTTATTTTCTTACGAATGTGGGGCGGCGCACATGTGAGGTGCAAATCTGAACTCCTTACACAATCAACCTCGTCCATCCATGTGGCATAAATAGATTGGTTTGTTTAGAGATGAAGCCCAACTCCCTAAACAGCAAAAATACTGCTAGTAAAAACCACTACTACTGCGGACTGCGGATTTGAATTGGGACTTGGAAAGAATCATAAAGTTGAGCTGGTCCTTGTCTTAAAAAAAAAAATATATACATCCAGCTTTATTGATATCCATAATATATTTTTGATAAATAATTGGTTTACTTATGTTAAGAATAAAAATTAAAGTCTGCCCATTAATAGGAGTGTCAATTGGACTGGATTTGGTCCAATCCGATCAAGTCTAATGTGAGTCCATTATGAATGGTTCAGGTTCAATCCAATCCAATGAATGTTTTGGATCAATTTGGATCAATCCAATTTAATGTCTGGACCATCCAATCTGTTCAAATTCATTTTGATTTAAATTAATTTCAACCCAAACTCGGTCCATTGACACATATTCTTATCTTATATCAATAAACCAGATATTAGCTTAATCCAACCTAATTCAATATAAATTTGTTACAAACGAACCAGGTCCAATCTAATCTAATAAATACTTTGAACCAGATTAATCCAATCCAATATAATTTATTGGTCCGTCGAATCCGTTCAAATTAATTTTAGACTAAATGGGGTCCAATCCAAAACCGGTCCATTTACACCCTTACCCATCATTAGGATTGTTATATTATTCAGAGAAAGTATTAGTTACAATATGGTAATATGGAAAAAAACCCAGTTGGTTGTTGATATATATAAAGTATATGGTAATTTGACAAAACTATATTTTGTCCCTATGTGATGGAAGGGGTCTTGATTGTCCAGAAGTGGGCTCCACATGCAAGAGATAGATAGTGTGATGAACTTATGTAATTGACATTTGACAGGAATGATCACATGGCTTCAAGGGTAGAGTCCCCAACTCGTATCCTTTGGGCCAAGTGGCCCAAGTTGCATCCCTCCTTGCCATTTCTTCCTTAATCCTTATCCATACTCCCCAAATAAATTGGGGTCACCCTGTTTTCCAGTTTCGACCTTCCACGTTCCAGCACCCACCTTATGAAAGCCGAAAGGTTATTGTTCCAACTTCCATGTGGTCGTGGTTGGGTGGGCCTTGGAAATTAGTGTAATGGGCCCACAATCAAGTTGTCCGACACGTACAAATCTGTACAAAAGATGGAGTACGGGTGGTAAAATTGTAGGGACCCAATCTTTGGACTTTGGAGACACTGAGCACGTTGTGAGGACTGTGTGCTGAGGAGGATTGAATATTGATTGATGATGATGGACGTATCAAACATTAAATTATTGGTTGGTTCCCTCTTCATTTCTTTCCTCCTCCTCCTAAAGACGATAGCAGTATAGGGGCAAACCCAGTACTGGGCTTAACACGCAACGACTCATGTTCTCCATCTCGGACCTAGCCCCAAGGCTCCTTGTCGGTGTGTTTCTCACGAATCCAAGACAAGATATAGACGTATTGATTATGGGCTTTGGAGCCCGAGGTCTGTCAAGATAATAAAAATTGTGGTAAAATCTGTTTTGCCTATATTCCCTTATTTCTTTCTTTGGGGGTTCATTTAAGTAACAGATAATGAGATAAATAAATGATTAGATTTGTGGAAAGAAGCAAAGGATTGAAGTTAGAGCCAACAGTTTGAGTAGTAGTTAATCAAGGTTATTTGACCATTAAGAAGATGGACAATTTTGTTTAATATATGATTAAGGGAGGCTGAACCCAGTTCTTGCCTTGATTATTAATATAAATAAATCATACCCATCTAAATTAAGTAAATCAGGTGGAAAAGAACTTTAGAAGACAAAGTCACAAAGAGGGGCTGTACTTTGTGTAATACCGCTTACAGAGCCGATGTTAACGGAATCATGCCCTCCGACTTCAAGTAATTAAAATGGATGTTGATTGTTGACCGCCTGATTTATATATATATTTTTATAAAATATAATAAATTCAGGGGCATTTTCCCATACTGTACAGATTCGTTCAAGATTCCTTTTGTATGTCGGGCGATTAACAAAATCCACACTCAGAGGTGGAGCGTGGAGTGTTTCCCCCGCGCATAATGGATTTATCACTTTTCATTACACACTCTCTCTACGCGATGGGGCCGAGAATCAATATTTGATACAATAACTGCATCCAATTTATACGCTACCTGCATCTAACTCTAAGCTATATCTTTCTTTATTCTATTTTTTAAAATGGTCACATGAAATGAATGAATAAACAAATAATGTGTATCAAAATATCTGTATTGATTTGTCATGAGTGGCAGGGTCCGGGGTGGTCGGCAATGTGTCGGATGGGCCGGAGTACGGTTCATGGGCCTCCCCAATTCCCAAATCCCAATTGAGTAGAAGGAATTCATATCCACCCCAAGCTCAACTATTATCTGATTATCCTTCCCGAACCGACCATGGGACGGGACGGATTAGGCCGCTCAAAGGATAAAACAATCAAAGATTCAAGGCCCGTTTGGTTCATGGGATTAGGGGTTTAAAATCGGAATTGAAAGGGATCATTCCTAGAATGATATTTCCTCATCTAAGGAATGGTCATTTCTTCTCATCCTGTGGAAATGAAATCTTATTCCAATTGATTCTAATTCCAATTCTAAATTTTATTTGAATCAAAATAAATTATGGAAATAAATCATTCCAATTCCAATTTCAACACCGATTATGAACCAAACGGACCCTAAAAAGATAGGGCTGGGCTGATGGCCTCTGCCTATGGGGTGTGAGCAGTGGGTTACACAGTTAGGGGTGGATTCGAGTCGAGTCGAGCTGAATATCTGCCTATTCGAGCTTGGCTCGGTCATAAATTATTAGGCTCGAGCTCAATTCGAACTAGTGACTTGAACTCGAGCTCGGCTTGAGTCAAAAGTTCGGAAGTTCGAGCTTGGCTGCCTCTAATTGCAGGTCTCCTTAGCAACCAAGGTGTTGAGCCGAGCTGCCAGGCTGAGGTCTCCCTCAGTCGAGGCGTTGAGCTAAGCTTCCAAGCTGAGGTCTCCCTCAGCTGATGAGGTGCCGAGCCGAGGTCTTCCTTAATTAATGAGGTACTGAGCTGAGGTCTCCCTAGTTGCCAAGGTGTCAAACCGAGGTCTCATTCAGTAGCTGAGCCGAGGTGACACCTTATGTAYATGTACTCGACTAGGCTCACAAGCCTTACGAGCCGAATTATATTAAACTTGAGCTCGGCTCGATTAACAAACGAGCCCATATATTAGGCTCGAATTTGGCTCAAAGCTCAGTTTAGACCAAGCCAAACTGAATTCGAACAACTTGTGAACAGCTCGGCTCATAGCCATCCCTACACACGGTATATATTTCAGAACATCTATGTTGGTCCAACAGTTTATTGATGTATGTGGGTGTGTGGGTGTGTGAGATGTATTATTGGTCGGCAAAGTGCAACCACCCCAACATTGACATTTGACAGCCTCGCCCAATTATTTTGAATCCCTGAATACAACCAACTTTGGTTCCTTTCCATGATAAAAAGGATTTCCTCACATGTTTCGGCTTTCTTGTATGTAGGGAAAGGACCCTTTTGTAACAAAATAAGATTTATTTTATTTTTATTTCACTTGATGACTTGATGTATAATGTATACTGTGTTGCCTCACGACCCACACATTAATTCATTTCTGATTTCTTTCTATAAGAAAAAGAAAAATAAAAAAAAGTTAGGCACCTCATATCCAGGATGCAGAAGAGAAGGGTGGGGTGGGGACTGGAGAACGGGATTAGTGACTTAGGTTGGTTTAGGGATGGGTGGACCATGTGCTCAAGCAATCAGACTGAGGACGAAGAAATTTTAAAAAAGAAAAGGTTGTCTTATCCCTCAGGCCCATCTCACGGATCTTGCCTCCTCTTTATCCTGCAAACCCATTTTTATACCTTTTCTATCTTTCTTTCCATCTCCCTTATATATATCCTTAAGGATTGAATCACCTTTGTTCAGTTCTACTTTCTGATTTTCCTTCCAAACCCCAACTCCAACAGCAAAACAAGAATGGCTTCTTGGGTTCGCACCATTACATCCCCCTTCAGAAAAGCTCGTACCTTCTTCAACAGCCCGAGGGATAAGAAATCTCAACCAGGTATTATTCAATTTTATCTTCATCTTCATGTCTTAATTCGTTCGTCTTCATCTTCGTCTTGGTTTCTTATTGGAATTATTGGTCCTTGCAGAGAATGAGTCTCGTACCATGGATTTACATGGTGAGGTGATGGCATGCGCTTATGAGGATGTTCAGGTGATGTGGTCGATACTGGACAAGTCTAAACCCAGAGTTTGCAATATTGTGAGTTCTTGAGGGTCGATGGTCGATTTTATACTTAATTTGTAGATAAATCAGGTGTGATGTGTGCAGATGATTCAGAAATTAAAGCAACAAGGATCATCTAAGTCCCACAATAAGGGTAAGGGGAGGTGGGTTTGGGGGTGTGTGAAGATGAGTTGTGGTGAAAACTAGAAAAGGCACTGTTTTATTTATATGCGATGGATGCCTTTTGTTTTTCTTGCTTTCCTGTTTGTAATTGTTAGTTCAGATAGGGAATCCCCATGGTTAATTAAGGAGAATCATGGCGAGATTTAATGAAAACTTTTTCCGAGTTTGTTTATTTCTTCCTCCTCCCCTTCTTCTTTTCTTCTTCTTCTTCCCACACGGCCACGAAAAAAACCAATTAAATTTCCCAAGGATGATTGATATTCAGAAATCACGGTTGAATAATATGTGAGGATGAGGGAGACCAAGATTAATTTTTTCTTTCCGTTTGGTTCATTCAAATCCAAAAGCACTAAAAAGTACAACTGGAACAACCAACCTGAGCTAAGTTTTAACCAATCCCAAAAGAAAAGAGAGGCTAATAAATGGAGAAGCCCTATATCATCAAGGTGGGCAGTGAAAAAGTGTCATAAGAATATAAGACGATGGGGCATCTATGTTGTATGATTAACTTGCAAACGTTACAGTTTTTGTCCCTTTTAAGGAAAATCAGTGTTAATAAAGGATTGGTACTGCAAATATTAACATCAACAGATGAGCTCTAATTTGGGCCGTTGGGACATTTTTTTTTTTTTGAATCCACAATGATGCCATACTTTAAAATTCTTTTTTTTGTTCTCGACAAACCGAAGAAACTTTCATTACTTAGAGAGGTTACAAAGCTCCTCTGGGGAAGGATGAGTGCAAAATAATTTTCTCATCCAATCCGGAGGTACATCATGGAATTCCGGTTCACTGTTCTCAGACAATCTAGCCATGGTATTCTTAGCTCTGGGAAGTAGGAACATACAGAAGGCTACAATTAGCAAAGAAAGAGTTCCAAAAAGTGAACCTTTTCTTCCCATTTCATCATCTAGCATACCATTTACAATGTTTTGTGCATCTGTACATATCACTAACTTACTCGATCAACTGGCATCACAAAATTGGTAACGAATTAGGTGGGTTTTTTTTTATCAAAATTCATGGGAAGGTATCATGTCTTTCCGGAATTGTAGTTTCTTTCATTTTTCTGATAAAAACTAATTGGTAAATTTTTCCGCTACTTGTAGTAGAAATTTGGAATCAAATACCACTTGCACCAGAGTTGGGGTAACCAATAATAATATTTTTTATTAGTAATAAATTCATGAACCCTACTGTAAAAGATGCCACTCCCATATATTTTATTACTAACGTGAAACGTTGTCATTGGTTTCACAGACAGTTGAACAGCCATGGCGCTCAGCTAAGAATGGGCTACCCTGCTGTGCAGCCCCATGGAACGAAGGAGGAGTGGTGACTGGTGAGTTCCAATGCAATCAGACTAGAGAATCTGGAGTGCAGAACAAAGTTCACAAACACATAGGGTCTCAGTACAAAAATATTTGTCCAACTGGCTGATCCAAAACATGGTCAGGAGTATCAGCTGCCTAGTGTGCAGCACCAAGATCCAAGACTCAACCGTAAATCCCAAGCAAAACATATTATATTCCCGAATTTTCTCAGTAATTGAGCGTTGAAAGTTGAACCCTCCCTACCTCATTCCGTGTAGCTATAATCCGTATTTTGACACATTATCTTCAGATCAGAGCTATCAATGGTTCGAGTCTGGTTTGGGATAAAGCGTATCAGCAGGGGCAAAACTAGGATTTGTCATTAAAGGGGCTAAAAGGTAATAAACATAGGTAGAGGTCAAAATCTAAAAGAGATTAAAATGGGCATTATGAAGGTTTTTAAGGTATGGGAGAGGTTAAGGGTGTCATGGACCGGTTTTAGATTGGACCCCATCCAGTCCAAAACCAATTTGGACGGATTGGACGGACCAACAAGACATTTTGGATTGGATCAATCCGGTCTAAAATATTTATCAGATTGGATTGGACCTGGTTGTCCGTAACAAATTCATATTGGATTAGGTTGAATTAAGACAATATTTAGTTCATTGATGTAAGATAGGAATATATGTATCAATGGACCAGGTTTGAGTTGAAATCAATCTAAATCAAAATGAATCTGAACAGATTGGATGGTCCAGACATTGAATTGGACCAGTTCAAATTGATCCAAAACATTCATTAGATTAGATTAGACCTGATCCATTTATAAATGACTCACATTAGACTGAATCGGATTTGACCAAATCCAGTCCAATTGACACCCCTGGAGAGAGGTATGACTCCCCTCTATCACCCCCATAATAAAAATTACAAAAAAAAGAGAGATTTAAATATTATTATTATTATATAATTGATTCGGGTCAAAATCAATTTGGATTTTGGAACAGGATTGACATAAATTGGTTCGGTTCTCTCGGATAAACCCGACAAAGTTGGCAGGTCTAATAATCTAAGATAATTTTGGGTGCAACTGGGCTGAGTTAGTCCAAAATGTTGATGGCCCACGTGAGCCCACACTGAAGTAATAATATTACAAACTACAATTATTAAGTTGCATTAGGAAAATTGATAATGATTACAAGAGCACTTGATTCTTGTATGTTCCATCTACCCACCGCCTGTTACGGAGCGGTACAGACTGTACCGACCACAGAACATAGACGGTGGAGACGTGTGTAAGAGCTTAGCTTTCTTACATGAATCATATGGCCTTCTATGTCTTCAAGTCCTACATCCGTATGAAACATGTTCTTGCTTCATTTTTGTCATTTAAGGACTTTAACCTCAAATTTCAATCAATGATTTATCCGTCCTGTGAAAACATGATTCTTGAGTCATGATAAAGCACAATGGACAATGGCAGAAAAAGAAATCCCATAAACCGACCGACCCAATAATTGGGATTAAAAAATGCTGATCATCAGTTGAGTTGAAGTTCATCTTGTCAATCTGTATGTTCACGTAGTTAAAAGAATATGATCACCCGTTCAATGTAAAGCAAGGATCTTATTACCCGCCCCAATTGAGTACTTCGAACCCCTGGAGATCCATATCCATTACGCAGTGGAATAAAAACCTATTATGGATATTGATGGCTCGTTTCATGGCTGAACTTGGAGTGATCACGCATTATTGGAAATGATTGTTGGGAATTGGAGTGGTCCCACATTGGAGGACAAGCTGTGAGGTATGCCTAAGATATTGTTTTTAAAATATTATTTGTTTATATTCAGTTTTATTGAATTTTCTATTGGATTATAGGTAAATTTGTTTTCAAGTAACAAAACAACATTGGGCAAGAATCTATAACCAGCAAAGTTGAAGAGTCTTCGAAGAAACCTTTTGTGAGATAGTAGCAAATCGAATTGAGAGAAACAAGAGTGATTTCCGAAAAGTCTGTGTGTTTATTTGCTTAATTCATGCTCCTTAAATAATTCCTAAAAGTCATGGAGGAAGGTATTGGTTCAGAAAAGGCTCATTAAAAAGTAGTTAGCAGCTAATGACTGTTAACTTTGAATAGTGCATCTTCATCACACTCAATCGAATCATGACTATTGAAACATCAACGATCAGCCTTGTACCAAAAGTCAAAGCTACTATTTGCGCTTGTGCGAAGTGCGCCTCTAAAGCGCCTCATTATGTCGCACACACGTGTGCATACATTGCACAGTAGCCAGCCTTCATACAATACTCTTATATTTCTAAGGATTGTAAATAAACTCCTATTTAAAAACTTAAAACAAGTTTGGGAATTTTCCAATGTGGAATAAGTTGAAAATTGGTTTTAATATGAGAAAAAATTAATTTCCAAGATATGTGTGCAGGTGTGTGTTTTTCTTTCATGTAATTAATCAATCAAACTCCATTGGATTTAATCTCTAATGAGATTAAAATCTAACAATCCCCTCACTTTGATTAATTAATTACATAGGTCTCTCTCAATCCAAACTATTATGACATAGTTATGCATACAAAAGGTGTATTATAACTTAAACCTTTTATTAGTATAGATATCTCAGAGTCTTGTCAAAATTATTGGTGGTAAGACATTAAATCAATTACTCTCAAGACAGACTGGAAATACCCATGCACATAAAAATGTCCTGTCTCTACAAGAGTTTCAAATTTGGCTCATCACTATTACGATCATTTGCCTCTTTCCTAGTTTCATGAACAATCCCGAGAGCAAACCCAATCTCTCATGAGAAGCAACATCACTTCTATGTTTACATAGGTGAAATTCCAATATGTGTTCCGTTACTTGATACATCTCAGAACTTCATTAAGCATTTAACTTAACCTTCATTGTAACGGACAACATTGTTTATGCTGCGATGGAAATCTCATTGTCAATGCTAACAGTCACATCGTAGTAATTTATTATTACCCATTAAACCCAACACTGATGTTTTTCAATTTAGGTCAGATTACCATTACTGGTGACTAAGGGTTTTAATCCCATCTCTTTAGTTGTCGTTCTTACGAGTTCTTTGGGCAAACCTTTGATAAGAGGATCAGCCAAACTTTTACTTGATCTCACATAAGTTATAGTGATGACTCCATCTTGAATTAGTTTCCTAACAAATTCATGTCTCAGATTTATACGCCTGAACTTACCATTGTAGATACCACTATAGACTCTCAATGGAGTTGCTTTACTATCAAAGTAAATAGAAATTGGAGGCTTAGGACTAAGCCAAAGTTTTATATCCAATAATAAATTCTGAATCTATTCAGCCTCTTTTCTAGCAACTGCCAAAGCTATGAATTTGGATTCCATGATTAAATGAGATATACAAGTTTGTTTCTTGGGTGCACAAGAGATCGCACCCCCACCAAGGATGAAAATTTATCTAGAAGTGGACTTGTTATCTCCATTACCGATAATCCAACTCACATTAGTGTACCCTTCTAGTACAGCTGGATAATCACAGTAAAATAAGCCAAGTTCTAATGTTCTTTTGAGGTACCCAAGAACTCTCTCAATTGCCTTCCAATACTCTACACCGAGATTACTTGTAAACTGACTAACTTTACTTACTACAACAACAATATCAGGTCTACTACAAAGCATAACATACATCAGACTTCACACTGCACTAGCATACTTAAGTTGTGTAATTGCTCTACTAGTTTTATACTAGAGTTATATGGTGTGCTATATTCTTTAAATCCTAAATGCTTAAAATTTTTAAGTATTCTCTCGATATAATGTGATTGGCTTAATGCATAACCC